AGCGCACACCAACTGGATAATCATCATCCTCTCCAGATGGCAAGGTGTCTTCCATCAAAAAGCCCTCAGTTGTCAAAGTCTCCAGAATATCACTATAGCTTGCCTTCCATGTGTTTACCCTTGCATACACTGGCTGTTGTGCAGCATATTGCAGTTTGTCCTGTTCTTCTTTCGGAAGTAAGGCCTCCACACTTATTGCACAGTCTCTAATTCTGCTTCTAGCAAGAGCTGCTCGAAGTTTTGTACGATGTGACACCAAGGCTTGTTGGATCTCTAGGATTTGAGGGAAAGAGGTCTCCTTGTTTTGTATCTCAACTTTTTGCTTTCTGAAGCGTTCATTGCCAAAGTAAAAGCCATTTTGTTGGTAGTCCAGTAACATCACCATAACACGATGTTTGTGATATGCCTCTAGCTATGGGTGACAAAGGGGAGAACAGAAGTATATAGACTACAAGAGTCCTTTCTTTTCAGCATAGTCAGGACTCGACACTAACAGTAGCCCACTAGTCACAGACTAGTAGAAATTCAGTTTTGGCTAGTGGTTTTCGATTTCCACTAGCCAGTTTGGCTAGTAAACAAACTGAAATTGTTGTAACGTCTAAGATGTAACCAGCCTCTTGGCTAGTAAGTTGAAAAGTTAGTGTAGAGCCCTGATAGTCCATCATGTAAATAAAAAAGAAACTTTTGCAAAAAACTAAATGTTAGCAAACTGCACAGAACTCTGGGAGTAACACGCACAAAAGGTAGGGTCCACACATAATTGCAGAGTCTGCAACAGGGAGATTCCACCTATCTCCCTTGTAGTTTATGAGCAAAGGATACGCAGTGTTACAGCGTTACAGCAAGCTACATGTACTCGTATGTGTAATGCAGAGATAAAAATAACAATTTGACTTTGACCCCAAGATTTCTATTTAAACAATAGAGTGTTTTTGTCAAGGAACTATCTGCTGATAGTTGCCCTGTGGAAATTTGATGTTCTTAAAACAAATATGCTAGTTTTAAGAACATCAAATTTCCAAAGGGGTAACTATCAGACTGATAGTTTTGAGACATAAACACACTATTGTCTTTATTGTTCACCACTAAATTTTCTCCCACACGCCAGTTGAAAAACAGTCAAAACCCACTAAATGCAGATCAATCAAATATTTATTCATGTGTACAGTCTGTCACAAGTGGCAATAATTCACAACCGTACATTGGCTAAATAATAATGTTGTACCTGTCAGAATTAAAAAGTCACTGTTTCTCCAATGTGCCTAACTTCATATCCTTCAAACCATTCAAACTTTTTCACGGATGAGTATTATCCATCCGGGTATTTTCCGCAGATGGGCACACAATATGGGCTGATAGTGTCTCTCTATGGATGGACACTATTGCATCACATGATCAATTTAAACATATAAGAATCGAAGAAAATTTAGTGGTGTACTATAATGCCTGATAAAAGTTGTTGAGGGTAAGGAAGTTATATCAGCTATCCTCCATGGCAATTAAGAGTGGATAACCTATAGAAATTGTTTTAGAAAATATAAGCCCTAATAGTTTTGCAAAACTTAACACAACAGGCTCATGTTTTTATTTCATTTTGTTTACAAATGCACAATTTCAAGCTAACATAAACTGCCACTTAAAAGCCCCCCCTAACTTATACACTGTATGCCCCTCCCCCCTGGTTATAGGTCCATCTATTGGTAAACAGAAAAATAAATGAGATTATATGTCCTCCCCCCCTTTCCCTTCCAGATATAAGACCCCATCTGGCTTATCTTGCTTTGAGAAACAAGAACTTGATCTGTAATCAATGACATTTATTAGAAGCTTTTAAAAAACCTGTAAATGTGAAACATATTTTGATCATCACTGAAGCTATAACTTGTTCGGAAGTGCTTTTTCTATTCCACTGATAGGAGCCCTTCCATTTTATAAATTCTCCTAAAACCCCAGGGCTTATAAGCAATATAAGCCCAGTGCTTATAAGCAATATAAGCCCAGGGCTTATAAGCAATATAAGCCCAGGGCTTATAAGCAATATAAGCTCAGGGCTTATAAGCAATATAACCCCAGGGATTATAAGCAGCAGTATTTACTTTACTGATTAAGGAGCAGTTTACTCCTTAACCATATCATGAAATAGATAATGAGATGCATAATTAACCATTCAGATGGCAGCATTTGTGAAAGCAAGCAAGGAAATAAATTTGTATATATCTTATGATTGGATTAGCTCCTTGGCTACGTATCTTTCAGGTTTAGGTCACACTGAAAATTATCCATAAGTATTATGCTTTAATGCAAATTAATCCTTTGAGCCTCCTATACTTAGAATTAGTTCTATTTAACAATTATTCCACGGGCGTGCGTTGGATATGAGATGATAGATAGCCAACGAGGCGTGTAGCACCGAGTTGGCTATAATCATCTCCTATCCAACAAGCGCAAGTGGAATAATTGTTCTATTAAAAAAAAGCCCCCAAGATATTAGACAAATCTTCTCGACTTTATTTTGTGAAAAGAAAATGGATGTTACAATGTACAGATATTAGATTATGGTATATAGGCTCATATACCATAATGGCTGAGCCAATAAAAAGTCTTGAATTGTATTATCCAATGATCCAGTTTTTAATAATTAACAATTATTCCACGAGCACGCGTTGGATATGAGATGATAGATAGCCAACGAGGTGCGTAGTGCCAAGTCGGCTATAATCATCTCATATCCAACAAGCGCGGGTGGAATAATTGTTTTATTAAAAATGTTAAATTAAATTATTAAATTTTATTAAATTTTTAGCTCCCTTTTGATTTTAAGCTGACACGTACGCTTACCATATTTGTAGATTATGGTATATTGGCTGATATACCATAATGGCTAAGCCAATAAAAAGTCTTGAATTGCATTATCCAATGATCTAGTTTTTAATAATAANGCAGTTGGCTATAATCATCTCATATCCAACAAGCGCGGGTGGAATAATTGTTTTATTAAAAATGTTAAATTAAATTATTAAATTTTATTAAATTTTTAGCTCCCTTTTGATTTTAAGCTGACACGTACGCTTACCATATTTGTAGATTATGGTATATTGGCTGATATACCATAATGGCTAAGCCAATAAAAAGTCTTGAATTGCATTATCCAATGATCTAGTTTTTAATAATCATCTCATATCCAACGCGCGCTCGTGGAATTGTTAAATAGACACCCTGTGTCAAGATGTTTTCGAATAAAACCCCTGCATTTTCTGAAAATTCTTCTTTGTAAATACAATTTTCAATGATGTCAAATACAGCCAAAATTCACTTAACTTTGCTCTAAAAAATTTAGGGAAAAAAACGGGCAGATAAGTTTTACAACATAAAAAAACTGTTTTACCTTGAAATAACTTGAAAAAAAGTAACTATCTAACAACACGTCGTCTAACACAGTCTCATCTGTAAATTAAAAAAAGAAGATATTACAAAGTGGATATCTGCTTCGGCGATGATTAAAAAACATAGAGAAGCTATTTACACAATAGGAGGTAATTTTCAATGATGCGTGCGCGCAAACCAGTTATAATTTGAAAAACGCATTTTACGAGTTCAGATATTGTGTATAATCAGTTTCTTCCCTTGATCTGAAAAGGAACATGATGAATTTTGGGAGAAAGAAAAAGCATGTAACCTGCCCAGATAAAACAATATTGCGGTCGCCTGAATTACACAATGGGACAGTCTTTTGTTTTTTCGAAAGCACACAAAATCTGGGTGTTTGTTCAGCGCCCAATACAAGCAAGAAAAGAAGAAAAGAGAAGGAAAAAAATAAGGCTTCGTGTTTGTATAATTTTTAGGAGTGTAGCAATCTTCTGATGCTTGATCGAAGTGGTTCAGTATCGCAGTCTCTGGTAGACCCAATCATTTCCCCGCCTATTTAATGTAACAAAAAGACAGCATCTTTTGTTTTGCCGTTTTAAACTAAGTTACTGAGGTATGTTTAAAAATCTTTCCAAAGCAGTATCTAAGGTATCACCATCGATGCTGAACGACGGGCAAAGAATTACGCGATGCCGTTGTAACGGCAACCGAATAATATTCAATAACTCGCTTATCTACATTAATTACCGTACAAAAGAAGCCACAGGAACTCTGTACTTTGTATAATAATACCTACCGAGGACATTAGAGGTGTTAACCATGACTACCTAACTTACATCGCTTTGCGCCGAAAGCCAAGCTGTAAGCTCGCCTTCGCTCCAGATCCTCATCAAACGTTGGAAGATGCGAGGAGGGAATCTGGCCTTTCAGGTGTCGATAAATCTCCCCTGCCTTTTCGTAGATGGAGTGACTGAATGTGTCTCTCTTTTTTCGTGAAATGACCGCAGTCTCGCTCTGACTTATTCGTGTATTCGATATGGCATCATTGCAAGGATGTTTGACACCGTTCGCCGCATCAAAACTGCTCGAAGATTTTTTCGCCTTGCTAGCAGCATCGCTGCTTCCTTTCTTCAGCATAATGGAGAATTGCAAGGATAAAAGCGCACTCAATCGACCTGAAATTTCTTATGTTTGGGTTTATGAACTTTCGCGCTAAATGATGCGATATCTGGTTTCAATCAGGTATCACCAGGGAGCGAGAGCAGACAATGCATGACGTCACAGAGAGGAAACAAACAGCTTTGTTTACAATTTATGTGCGTGTTGTAACAATGAGAAACTACTGTTAAGGTCATTACAAGAAATGATAGACGATGGTACGCGTATGAAACCTCTCCCAAATCATCCAATATTTTTTAACCAATCAAAGAAATGAAGTCAAGAAAAGTGTAACGAGAAGCTGGTGCAGGTGGTTGCGGGGGGGAATGGATGTGGCAGAACGTAACATTACGGGATAGATTAGCGAGGGAAAGCAGCATGCCAGCGAAGTATGAACCATCGCTTTTCGTTTCTTTTCAGCGTCGGAAAGGGGGGGGGGGGGGAAGCGGGGACCCCCTTCAACACGATTCAACACACAGTATGCCATAATTTTATTACCTCAGTTCACAGACAGACAGAAGAACGAAAGTACAACTCATAGAGATTAACTACTGTTCAAGAAAATCTACAGACCTTCAACTAACTGCGGATTAACTTCACATTTGAAGCAAACAAAACTAGAACACACGCAATATTTTGTTTTGTTTTCAAACAACCACGGAAAGATTTCTTTTTCAACAGTATCAAGAGAACTTATCCTGATAACATGATTCAACCCAGTTTCCGCGATTGACGGCAAGTCAATAAAATTCTCCAATGAAATGAATTTTCCACCCTCCAAAAAGCTTTTGGATGGCGAGGAAACTTGTTTGATGAGGCCTTAAAAATTCTCTTTTCCAAAGCGGGTCAACTCCTTTAATCTGACTTATTTTAACTGTGTCAAGAGTCGATATGAAAATGAAACATTATTGATTGTGAGTTGTGATCCAAATACTTCAAGCTTTAATAACAACTTAATCCCCATTTTAGAAAAGAAAAAAAGTATTGAAAACGACAATTCTTCACAGCTTTGCATGAATAATTCTTGTGGCGAAAGTCTACAAAATGGGCTCAACGTGGCTCTAACTCATGCATCATTACAAACGAACACTAAAATACTTGAAGTCGGTACGAAAATGATCGTAATATGAAATTACCACAAAGAACAAACAAGGAGCCCCTAAAAAAGCGAGAAAAACAACACGAGTAAAAAATTACCGCCGTAAAAAATAGTTCCACTTCTCAAAAATACCAGAAATACACTTGTGTTTGTCTAGTCAATGACTTAATGATCTCTACTTATATCAAGAAAAGCTGTGAAGATTATGTCTTTAATACGAGGCCCTGCTAAGCACCATCAACTACTCACCCTCCCCTCCCAACTCATAGAATAAGCCCCTTACCAGAGTAGGCATGAATAACATACAAAATGTTTTGTTGTTAATTTTTTTTTTTTCTGCAACTCTTTCTAAGAACTTTTAACGGTTAAATACTTTCCCAAGATTTAAATATTCTATTCAGAGAAACATAATCCCCAAAATAAAGGGCTAACAACCCGGAAATATATTTGAAATTAAAAATCTCTAATTTTCACTTGAATTTCTTTCCTAAATTTGGTCAATGGTGTACTAAAATAAAGACCTGTAATCGATCTGATAACATTCTTACTACAAATGATAAACTCTATGATTAATTAGTGTCCAATGCTTTCAGCTTCAGATTGGTGTAGTTTTAAACTTGTGTGCGATCAGCTCTAAATTATTATCACGTGACATACATTTCCAAATACGGACAGCAGAGAGATCCAATCAGAAGGAAGCTTAAAAAAAATATCTCTGTGCGCAAAGAAAAAGAGGCCTTCTTAACGCAGGACTTTTTAACTGGTTAAGATTAAAAGGCGTGTCAAAAGAACACCTGCTGAGGTGTGAAAAATTTTTGAACCAGCTGCAGCTTAAACATTACTCTCTACACGACAGAAAAAAAACAAAAAACAAAAAAAACTGAAGAGGTCTGAAGAATTCTTTGTCAAATTTTCGTTATAAGGCATTACAAGAAGATGAGGTTCATCATTCCAGTTCTTGGCGAGGAATTTTTCAAGAACATAACCAACCTTATTCATGATGCGAGCTGTTTACAGATTTCAAATCAAAACTTTCGCCTCCTTTATATCCCAGAAAACTAAAATTGAAAACGAGCTTTAAAAGATTCATTTGTGCGATGCAAAAGTTGCGTGCGTGCGTGTGTGTGTGTGTGCGTGTGTGTATATATAGCCTATTCTTTGAGTAAGAAAGCTAAATGTTTACTAATGAAGGTTGGCAAAGGTAAGTAGAGAAATGAAACAAAAATAGAAGACAGGTGACTTTAAAAAGCAGGACTATTCACGGCTACTTTCTTTTCATAACACTTGGATAGTTCCACCATGAAATTGAGGAAGTTTAAATTAAAACAAACCTACAGATAGAGGAGACAGCAAAACCCTAAAATGAGAGGACGTTTAAGATGCAGCCTTACTCTAACCAAAGGAAAAAAAAAGTCGTACGTCTCATCTACGACAACTGTCCAGCTTCTCTAAGTTTCTTTGCCTCTTCATAAATTCTGCAGTGCACAACCAGTTTAAGCTAAAACTATTTTGAGGCATCGTGAGGATCGTGGTAAAGCATAGCAAGCTTTCGCCCAGCATATCTCAAAATCTCTTGCAACAATTGACAGATAGGTAACTCACAAATGTGTGGTTGTGGTAATGCTTCCATTCGGAATGTTATTTTTTCTCATAATATCAACCTTTACCGTAGCAAGGTCTAAGATTTCAACATTCACTTCCCATACTTTTCAAAATTTTGACAAGAAGTTTATTGATTTTTGCCTTCCCAACTTCCATGGGGTGAGGCCACGCCACCAAGATCCCCACAAAGACATTACATGTTTACTAAAAAACAACATATATTTTCTTCTTCTGACTGGCCTGATAGCTGAGATAAGGATATACTCTATTTGCATGTTTTCTTGTTCATTTGTATTTATTTATTCCATATGAAAAAATACTGCATGTATTCTACAAAATATAGCAAATTACAAGGAATAATACTCTTACTTTGTTAACTTCTCTGAGAAACGACTCATGCCAAATATCATTATTAATATAATGCAAACACTATTGCCATATACCTCCCACTGGGTGCTATAATAATTATCTATAATTGCTCTCACCAATAAAACATCTACATGTTGTGTAAAGCTTGCCCAAGCATTTTATTTCTAAATATACTTCATTAACAGTAAATGAACTATGCTGTCATTAATATACCCTTTGTTTATTGAGATGGAGCTGTACCTCGGTTCAATGCATGAGTGTGTACACTGTATGTCCAAAATTCCACTTGGTTCTGTGCTTTTAAGGATAATTTACAATGGATCTGTTCAATTATTCAACTGCAGCTTTGCAATTAGACGCCTTTTCTGATTGCAGTAATTCCTGGAGTCTCCTCAACCCATCTTGAATGTACTCACACAAGTGGACAATTGAACTACAAAACAAAACAGTTCATCAGTCATTAGCATAGCGCAATATTCAATTGAGTGTTGAAAATAATTTGAGATTGCAACGGTTTTGCTTTACTTTGCTCTGTGATTGGTCTAGAAAACTAGTGCCACTCTCAACCAATCAAATGTAAAACTAAAAACCAATCCGACTTGGTCTCCCACATTTTCCCCAGGCTTTAAGCGATCTGGTTGTTTTTACTTGAGTTCTAACTGGCTCTGAAAGTTAATTTCCTTTCTTCCTATTACCTGCTATGATTGTCAGTACTTTGGTTTAGTTTTTACAACCCTTAATCACAAAGCACTCGAATGAACCATTTTTATGTCACAATACCTGTGAAGGGTTAGAGGTCCACAGTTACGATCCAGATCCATAAAGAAATCTGTCAAACAAAAGAAATCATTATCAACTGGCCTTGTGCAAAGCAAAAGGAAATAAACTTCACCTTTAATAAACTTCACTTTACATGATAAGTTACGCTGTTACTCACTAGTCAGCCACTTCTAATATTAAGAAAAGAATGTCTGAACTCTTGTCATTTTACCTCTGAATTCAAGCACAAGGGGTTGGGCCTGGTCCCACAAATCTTGACTGTAAACCAAGTTGTTGACCTGTAGAATATGCTGCTGTGTCATGGAGTGAATCTTCTGTGGAATGCAGACATTCACTGGCGACGTAATTGCATTAGAACCAGTGGAGGGCTTACTATTTCGCGATGGCGTGGTCATAGTTTCATTGCTGCCACTGCTTCCTACACTACCAATACTGCCGGATGGGGATGGTGTAGGTGACAAAGGTGATGGGGTGCCAGTTGTCCTAAGGAAATTACCACAGGATGTTTCAGTAAAAAAATCAGTCAAACAAGTAAAAACAAAAAAAAACCCTTGAAAGGTAAACCAAACCAAACAAAAAAAAAATGTCACTCTGACAAAGGGCAACCACTTGAAATGTCTGCTTTAAAAAACACTTTACAGTGGCCAATTTGGTTTATAAAACCAACTTATCAAATTAAACAAAAACTCCTAACAGTAAGGCTGTTCACAGTGCCTAAAAATGAAAAAGAAACATTTTTTTTCCAATCACAAAGGTCAATCAAATCACATAATACAAAGAAAACAGAAAAAAAAGACAAGTTGAAGGGAATACAGATAAATATCTAACCAGTTTCAAACAAGAGGTTGAACTGATACCTAGTTTTTGATTTGACTATTTCTAGCTGAATGCAAGGACTAAATACAAATTGTAATAATCTCAGCTAAAAAAAAGAAGAAAAAAAAGAAAAAACTAAGAGGCAGTCAGAACACAGCTCAGCACCTCAGTGAATTTCTACAGTCTGTTCCAATTTGTTTTAGTATTGGCAGCAAAAAGCAAACTTACTTTGTGTTTGATGTATAAGGTGAAGGAGCCTGGGTACTTTTGGGAGGACCCTGTTAAACAAGCCGACACAAAGTAACTTTTAGTCAAAGTAGAAAACACCTCCTTGAAACAAAGAAGAATGGGAGGTTGACTAGCACAGAGATCAATAAAGAAACACACTATATATAAGTACATGTCACTGTGTCAAGTTGATGAATGAGAGGCAAAGCGTCCATCAATCTCAATCAGAGATGGTGTGTCTAAGTTACTTTCTTGTCAGTAAGGGCCTATCATGTTAACATGTTTATATCACAACATAACAGTACATGGTTCTCATATATAAATTTCTCTTCTCATGTTCAACTCAATACTTCACTTGTTCACTGCATTCACTCATGTGATGTTGAGTTGAACACTCGAAGAAAAATTCCATATCTGCAGGTGCACAGGTATTATTCTATTTTAAACTAAATGCTTTATTTACCTTAAAATGCTCCGCAACCATCTGTTAAGAAATAAAACATAGATTTCTTTTGTGAGACAAGTCAGTAACATTGCCCTAAAACTGTTATTCTACCTAACAGCAAGAAACAAAATCTTCTAACCTCTAACCAACTACAGTAAATATAAACACAAAATAAAAGATTAACATCCTTCCTTACCTTAACATTTCTCATTACACCATCCTTCCTCAATTTGTAGAGCCTCATGTACAAAAGGGATTGAATTCTCATGCTAAATCACAAATGAAAATGTAATATTAATTTACCATTTATGCCAACCATATTTCTAACTTATCAAACGTATTATAAACATTCAGAAAGGATGATAAACTGTTACTTCTGTGACAAGCTCAGTTTAACGACTTTCTTGAAAGTCATAACAGGGCATAATTCAAGGCCTTACCATAAAACAGAAAGTCTTTTATCAGGAACTCGGTCTGATCGGTGAGTGTATCTGTTGACAAAGTTGCGCATTGTGTACCTACAAAAGGAAAAGCAATCTCCTGAATGGAAGCTTAAGGACGTTAATAAAGGAGACAAAAAATCTCTTGGAGCATTAGTACATAGTAGTGTTGACAGCTTTAAGTTATCTTAATCACACAAGCCAATTACAGTCAAACTAAGTGAAGCATTCCCCTCAGGATTACATTAATGATTTGATTATTTGAATATTGAACCTGCTAATCGTTTCAGGAGCACAATAATGAATTGAATATTTGTACATGGAACCTGCTAACCGTTTGAAGAGTGCAATAATGAATTGATTATTTGAATATTGAACCCGATAGCCGTATTCGTTTTGAAAAGGTGCGGATCATTGTTCAAATCAGAAGTCCATTTCTGATTGGATTTTGCGAACACGTGATGATGGATCGGAACCATTTCAACATGGCGTCAGACATGGCGGGAAAGGTGAGTTCGAGTGTTGTGTAGAACTTCTTGTAAATGTTGTAAATGGAATGTTATCGAGAGCTTTTTTCACCTATTTACATCTTGACGAACTTGTAGAAATTCTTGTGTGTATTCATGGTTGAAAAAAATAGTCTATGGGCAAAGCCATCGCAAGACTTTTTTTATTCGTTAATATTTGCGATTAACTGTTTTCGCAGTGTTTTTACAGTACAGTTTGTTCATTTTCAGGATTCCTCGTCAAATAGAGCAATCTTAATGGACTTCAGAAATGGACTTCTAATTTGAACAATGATCCGCGCCTTTTCAAAACGGATATGGCTATCGGGTTCGATATTCAAATAATCAATCCATTATTGCATTCATGAAACGGCTAGGGGGTTCAATAATCAAATAATCAACTCATTATTGCATTCTTGAAACGACTGGCAGGTTCAATATCCAAATGATCAATTAATTAATGTAATTTTGAGGAGTACCCTTCACTTAGTTTGACTGTAACACCTGTACAATGTATGTGAAGAAGTAAACACCCATCAGAGGGATGAATAATTATCGTAACATTTTGAGGCATCTGTTTCATAACCCCTGAATGGTGGCACTGTGAAAAACTCTTTGAAATGTAGTATCTAGTTACCTGAGAAGATCCAGCGTCTCAGAGTACATTTGAAATGCTGAACGTGACTCTGACTCGTTGCATTCATTTTGCTGCAAGAATCAAGTAAATAACAGACTTGAATTAGTAAGTGATAAAGGAACACAAACAATTTGAAACTTGACTAGGGTATTCAATGGTGAAAATGTAATTTAAATAAAGGAAAATAAAATGAAACCTACTTCAATAGCTTTTCCACATCTTGCAAAGTTCAAGACAGCATCAACATACAAGAAGGCTTTAGCTTCCTTGTCAGTCTGCAAAACATTGTAAGTACACATCAGCACTTTTTCCAGCTATATTTAATTTTTCAGAACTTTACTGAATAAGTAAACAAAATTTGGGTATGGCTGTGCAGGGTGAGTTTTTTTTAAAGTACTCTGGGGTAGTAACTGCTGCACTGAAAAAGCAGCTAATGGATGATCAGAGGTTACAAGTAAATGAAGTCTTATCTAACAGTTGACCTAAATCTTTAAACTTACAGAGGAATCAGCTTTGTGTTTGAGCCTCTTGGCCTCTGCAAGGTAGTGGTCTGGTCCATAAGGTCTGAAAAATATGATAAATAATCTATAATACTGTTGTAACTTTAACAGGGCTCATCAGGATTTGTCAAGAAACAGAAAACATTCTCATAACTAAGATAAAATTCATTTCAACAATGTCCAAACATTTAATAGCTTTTCCCCTCAAATTACAGTGTTCATTTCTTTGGAATACCTTGACAATTTCATTGTTGTTTCTCCTTACTGTCTGCCATGTAATTCTTATGTTACTGTAGTTTTGAGAATTTGGTACAGGATCAACTTACAATCTTGTTAATGATGTTTTTCTTAGTTCTCACCACCCGACTGCTTTTAATGGTATTGATATTGAAAGGAGAAATTCTGACTTGATCACTCCTGAGAGTGTGAGGGCTAATTCTTCTGTGCTTCTTGCTTTAACTGTTAGGCAGCTGGCGAAAAGAAATGAATCTAACTTACACTTTGGGTTCTGGATCATAAAACCTAGAAATGTCAACTTCTCTCTTCTTTTCAACATTGCTGGTTTTGTTGCACAAGCATGTGTGAGAAATGACACCATTATCCACTAAATCCATTCCATTTTCATTGACAGAGCCATTCTGAAAACCGGGTGAAGAATCATGATCTTTGCTATTTTCATTGTCTTGTTTCTGGCGCTTAATTCGATGAGAATCTTTCTCCTGGCTTGGACTGCGCTTCCTTGTTCCATCCTTGGGAGGTCGAGTGTTGTTACCGCTTGAACTCAACGATTGCTCATGAGGTTTTGTTCTGCTGGTTCAAAACATTTACTTTTACACTTCTACTCCAAGTCAAGTGAAAACTTCTTCTTAAACATAACCCATATTCCTTACCTTGTTTTTAATTTTTCAACCCAAACATAGAGTAATCAAAATAAGAGAAATTTGGTTTGTTAAAAAGTGGCTAAACTAAAGTTGCATAGGGAACAACTTTTGCAGCAAATTTTGTCGTCAGAATTTTCTTCTACTTGCATTGGGGGACGGGGTAAAACCGGGGTAGAGAAAGGTTGAATGATGTCTTTGATAGCATAGTAGAAATAATTTCCTGAGCATATCACACAAACCTTGCAGTGCTTTCATAAGTCGTCACCTCCCCTTACCTATTAGCATCCTCACTGTTACTTTTCACTTTCTTGGAAACTTCCTGTTCTACCGGCTTTACATCTAATAATTTTCGCTTTGGAATCTTCACTTCTGGAGAATTTATCGCATCTCTGCTGCCATTGGTTTCAACTGTGGGTGACAAAACTGAATGTTTGGGTGGAATGTTACTTGCAAGCTGTGGTATCCTTTTCAGCAGTGACAAGTCAATTTTTACTATAAGAGACTCTGGCTTGTTGACTTCATCATATGTTATTTCAACATTCTTCCCCAAAATATCTTTAGTTCCATTTGTTGATATCAAACTTGATAATAGTCCATCACCATTCACATGCTTACTAAGGCCATTTGTTGTCACAGGTTTCTTTTTTACTCCTTTAGGATTTTCAGTCTCTTTTGATTTTGCTGTCTGCTTGACTTCTACCTTTTTATTGTCACTTCCTGGACTTGGCTCAATGCTAACAATATCCACAAAAATATCCTCATCATCAACAACTTCACTGGTCTCCCTCACTGCTTCATTACTCACAGAAGTTTTACTAACACCCTTTGTTTCAGATATCTTTTTGAACGATTTTTTTGTGACTATTCCATTTGGTGTTTTTGTTGTTTTAGTGACCTTTTTAGCACTATCATCAGTACAACCATTGCTAACTTTGAGATTTGTAGAGTTTTTGACAGAGTCTGTTTTCTTGGAGTTAGCAGGTTTTTTCGGTGAGTATTTGGTTGGACCTTTCTCCTGGCTCGTATTCAACTTGGACTCCACATTGGAAGATCTCCTTTTTACCTTCTTGTCATTCTTGGGTTGTTGCGTCTTCAGAGTTGTTGCACTATCTTCAACAGGAAGAGCACTTACTGGTTCAGCTGAGCCTTCACTCATTTCTGCTGGAAGGGGAAGGTCAAGCTTAGCTGTTAATGACTCAATGTCCACTCCATTTTTTAAGTCCGAGCTGAGGTCAAAAAGGCCTTCCGCAAATGATAAAAAACTATCCTCGGATGCCGCTGCCACAGGGCTTCTCGCGACATGAGAGTTAAGACAGCTCATATTTGAATTAGCAGCAGGAGCAACCTGGTTTCCACGGACACCGTCTCCTCCAACCGTGTTTGCAGCTGATGGACTTGGTTTTGTCTTAGTGGTTTGCGATGGTGATGACTGATTAAGTGCATTGGCAATATGGTTTAAACCCCAGTTACGTCCACTTGTATGCTGAAAAGAAACCAACTTATTGTTAGAGACAGTCAGCAAGAGAAAGATAACCAGCTTCAACATTAATATTCCCAACCTGGAGTTAAAGTCCAATTTATGGTCACTACTTCTGCCTAACAAGCATTTTTCCTTAACAAACAATTTTTGGTCTGGCAATTGTGTTGTGCAACAACACCACCAACAACAAAACAAAAAACCACCACATTTGAACCCTTTCACCACTACAATTTGATTGTTAATTCTCTGCTCTATCTGTGACACATTTTCTTGGACATAAGTTACCAGAATTTGGTGTTAGATCCAGATAACAACTACTACCCGATAAGTTTAAGTCTTCTCATTACCAGTTTGCTGGATAGCGTATGGAAATTATAGGGAGAGGTTACAAGTTAAGCATCTCTGGCAGTTAAAGAGTTAACAGGTTGTGTATCCTTTTTCCTTTAACAGGGCTCGACACTAATTTTTCAACTTACTAGCCAAGTGGCTAGTCACATCTTATATATTACAACAACTTCAGTTTGTTTACTAGCCAAACTAGCTAGTGGAAATCCAAAACTCCTAGCCAAAACTGAATTTCTACTAGTCTGTTGATAGTGGGCTACTGTTAGTGTCAAAGCCCTGCTTTAACGAGCCTCTCCATGATTACATGCTTTTTAACAACTTGATACAGGCCACTGATAGTGTTTCCCTAGTTTACCTTTGGAGAGGATGAAGCTACATGAACGGGAGATTTCCTTGGTTTGTCTTTAGTATTGTTGTTTGAGTCAGAAGCACTAGAATCACTATCACTATCGCTGCTGTCTGAGTCACTGTCGTCACTGCTGCTTCCACTTGATGATGTTGAATGGGAGCGACGATGTGCATTCCTATCAGAACAGTGCAGCATTAGTACATTAAAGTGAACGCTGACTCAGGGAAGTATAGTTTCTACCAACAACATTTTGCTTTTTTGTCACATAAAACAGAGATTCATGTTGCTGTGGGTCTGTAAAGCAACATATCACAAAAGATGTCAAAACGTGGTAAAACCTTTTTTTGTTTTACCACATTTTGATGTCATCAGTGATCAGTTACTGGACAAATGCACAGCATTATAAAATCTAATTGTCAAAGAACAAAGGATGCTGATATTTAACAATTATTCGCCGAAGGCGAGGCGAATATCATCGAATAATCCCCAAGACGAAGTCGAGGGGATTATTCCACAATATTCACCGAACCAGAGGCGAATAATTGTTTTAGTATAATTTGAGAGCTGAACAACAGAGAAATTTCTAAAATCATAACATTTTAGTAACATTTATTAACATTTTATTTTAACATTTTATATAAACCACGTGGAGCAGTTTATATAGCGTCATATAAGGAACTGCTCGACCAATCAGATTGCTGGAAACTCTTTGCTCAGCTCTGAAATTATACTAATTAACAATTATTTGCTGAAGGCGAGGTGAATATCACCGAATAATCCCCAAGACGAAATCGAGGGGATTATTCAACAATATTCACCGAATCCGAGGCGAATAATTGTTTTAGTATACTTTCAGGGCTGAACTACAGAAATTTCTAAAATCATAACAGTTTAGTAACATTTATTAACATTTTATTTTGACATTTTATATAAACCGTGTGGAGCAGTTTATATAGCGTCATATAAGGAACTGCTCGACCAATCAGATTGCTGGAAACTCTGCTCAGCTCTGAAATTATACTAAAACCATTGAATCCTGGGTTTAATTTCTGTAGAGAGTAGCTATTTTCCCTTGTTCATCAATCACAAATCACAGTTAGTCATATTTCTTAAACTAGCATTCATTTATTAACTAAGGCCGTACTCACCTCTCAGTCTTTGAGGGTGAAGTGTGCGTAACTGGGTTATCCTATGAGAGAGACCAGCACAACAATTAGTAACTGTTTTCAATAAATAAATAAACTTTAATAGCTAATACAATTACTGGTAACCCAGTAGTTTACACCGTGGGCTGTATTAAAAAGAATTATAAAAACTAGATTATCAAGAACAGCATGCACATAAATATATTCAAAACATTCTAGAAATAGTAAAATGTTCACGATCTGAATTACTTTGTAAAGAATTGTTCACTAAAAGTTTCAATTTCCATACAGATGATCCTATGATTTCCAGTAAAATAGAGATTTCTCGCCCTTCTGATTACTTGCATAAGGCCCAGATTCAAATTTAACCCTTTCAGTTCCAAGATCCCATCGGTGATTCTCTTTATCGTCTGCCATACAATTCTTCATAGTGTCAGTTCTGAGAATTTGTTTCAAATCAACTAATAATCCCCTTGTTGATATTTTCCTTTACTTTCATCGCTTGTCTGTTTGTTTTTGTGTTGATAATGTCAGGAGAAATTCTTTATTTGTAACTCACACAGGTTAATGGGTTGACAAAAGATAACAACAGGAAACAAAAACTTACATGTTCATCATCGCTGTCATCAGTAAGGACTAGGTCATCGTCCAACAGAACCACATCATTCCCACTGTCTTTCTTGCCTTCAGTGCTTTCTATTTAATGCAATGTAAGAGGAAAAAGTAATGGGTAAAATTGTGATTCACAGGTTCCTATTGTAGCAGAAACCACCTTAGTGACAAAAAAATGGCACTTTCAGTCATTGAAATTGATGCTTTCTTGTTGGTTTGGTCAGTTGTCTTGCAACAAAGTTCATACTCTTCCAAAAAAATTAAAAATGCATGACTTTTCTGTGACATTTTCTTCCCTTAAATTCTTCTTAATTTTTCCTTGCAAAAGAAATTTGTTCATCAAAATGATGTAAAAATGATCATATACTTGAGAAAGTAACATTTCTGAAGCAAAAAAATGATACTGACTTATTTATGCCAAAATAGCTGGCAAGATTTTTCAGGTGAATGTTAGGCTATTTTTTTTTTTTTGGCCTTTAACTGTAATAAATCAACAAACAATGAATCTACAAGGGAAAATTACAATTTTGTTTTCACCTACAGTTTCAGATTCTCTGAAAGCATTTGTAATTGCACTGACAGAACACAACTGCACACAAGTACATCCTTGACCCCTTACCGCTTGGTTTTCTCTTTGTTGGTAAAACTGGAAGCACTGAAGGTTCTTGAATACTATTACGATGAAAGGCAAAGATAGAGCTCCCTCCTTTGATTGGGGTGTGGATCCCTGTAAGAGGTGGAGCCACCTGTTGCATCTCCTATCAAATAAACAAACAAAAAACAAATAAATAAATAAATAAATAATAAGCAAACATTTTGAGTCCAAGAATATAATATGCTGGGATTGATGTAGGTGTCAGAGCAATGGCACACCAACACTCCCACCCCTAAGCCAAAAAAAGTCAACTGACCACAATTAACTCTTTAACTCTCATGATCAGATTGTTCATTCTCTCCTCTAGCTGCCATACATTTCCTTGTAAATTAGTTACAAGAATTTGGTGTCAGATTAAGATAGCTTACAACTTGAACCTGATAAGTTTGAGTATTCTCATTACCTGTTTGCTGGATTATGTTCAGATAGCATAGGGAGAAGTTAAATGTTCATCACTTCTGGGAGTTAAAGGATTTAGGGGAGGGGTGGGTATGTAGTAATTTACATTCTTGGTTGCCATAGTCAGTAGGAAAAAATTTAAGCAGTTAAATTTGTAGCAAAAGTTGCCTGTTTGGCAAGCACAACGTAATATTTCAAGTACTTAGTAAAATTGGTTGTACATTAAGAATAAAATTGATATTAACTATTGTGTACAATACAATTAAATGTTCCTTCTTTCTTTTCTTTCTCCTCAATTATCTCATTATTGAGCACTGAAAGGGAGGCACAAACCTGTAAATATGATTGCCAACCATACAAGACATTCCGATCAAAGTTTGTAAATAGCACAATACTGCTGTACAAGTTGTCTTTTTCCTTTATTTATTTATTTTTTGGTTTCACCCCAGAAAAACCTTCTTGCAGACGACAATTTCATGATATTACTTATCAGAAATGAAAGAGAAATCTAGCAAATGTTTCATGGTTTAAGGTAAGGCAGACTGTGCATAATAATTGCATACACAGCATTTTCTTTTTTTTTTACAAACAGCACCAACAAAATAAACCACAACTGTATAAATCAAATACAGACAAAGGGACTTAATAGTTACAAAATAGCTAGACCAACTGAATCATGATTTTACTCACAACATAATTTTTCACTCAAGAGATGGTTAATACACAACAAATGGAGTGTCGATGTCTAAAACATAGTTACTTCAAATATGTTATGGGTGAAATCAGGTGGTGTGCGCACTCTGATGGCGTTGCATCATGATCGTAAAACAAAAATTGAGTCATTTGCATCTTGATGCATTAGAGTGAACATCTTTGTGGCAGCGAGATGCGGCGTGAATATACGTGGATTGTAATGGGGATTCACTGTCTGTTGCTATTCCTTCAAAAGTTAAAACATTTGATGGGCCTGCACAGCTCCTGTCATTCCTCTGTGATGAATTCATTCTTAGAAGGCAACTGACGTTATTTAGAAAGACTCCAAACTACAATCTGCCTAAGAATCTCGACACAAATGGCAACAGTTACACTCACAACCAATGGCGGGATGAATAATTTCAAAGTCAGTAATTATATTCCTAGATGCGAGTTATTCAACTGTGAATTGACCCTTGACATGCAAACAAATATTAGAGAGACAGAGACCTTGTAATACACGAACTTTTTCCACCGAGCATAAAAGGAGAAGCTCCACGCCTCCTAAGAATGAACGAATTTGTCACGCTCCACGTTTAGTAAAAACGTACAGAGTTTCAAAATACCCTGCGAGAATATATAGAGGAAACCTATTTCAGGGTTTTGAGAAATGTATCTCTGGAGTTATTACTTCAGGAGAAAAGTATACTCTGAAACAAAGAAAATAGCACACGCCTAGAAGAAAATATTGCCTTTTGTAACACAATCTCATCCAGCTTTGCCAAACCTGAAGAACATACAGATGGAGATTTATGACACCTCAAAACTGACCCTTATTATCACATCGCAAAGGAAAGTCATCAAAAGATATTCTAATAAGAGCTAAGCTTTGAGAGCAGAAGATTTAAAAGCGCTAGCGAATGGTAGGAGACGCACTGGCCTATCAACACCTTTCAACGGCTGACTGCCTTTTACTTTCCCGCTTTCCGGTGAGTCGCCTCACTCAAGGTAGTGGTTTTCATGGATCAAGTGACTCTTTTCATTGCTCTAACTAAACTGTCCTTCATTCAATGATCAAGATAAAAGATTTACCCCACAAGACTCGCTATCATTTAATTTTCCTTCACTTAGGAAAGTAGATTTACAACACGATTGATAAATGCCCTTGCAGTAGTAACGCTGTGTAACGCAACACACTAAACACAACAATGGGCCTCTTTGCTCCACAGAAGGGTCTCAAACACCATCATTTCAAATGCATAAAACATTTGTACCATTGGAGTGCATTTGAGCACGTTTGGTCAGAGCTGTTGAAGAAGGATCAAGTGGCCCTACAAATCTTTGAAAGGCTTCAAACTACGACGTGCAACAAATTTGATCTGCTAGAAAACCAGTCACAAATTACACGCTACAATACAGTGCTTGTGTTTGTCCTTGAGAACGATATAATATGTGACAAATACGCACGAAAAATACTTCTACACGTTCAGAATATATCAAACTATATTTACTTATAATGAAAGGAAAAAGAAATGGCCTAACTTTTACAGAATATTCAGTCAAACTCTACCCATTTCTACCGCTTTTACTGCCATACTGAAAATAATGCTACCACAATGCAATGCAATCGAAGTGCGCACACCGCCTAGGGTGAAATGAAGAGTACATTTAAGTAAAATGACCATGTATTGTATAAAGACAAGACATCAAGCACACTGGGGGTCATTTTTCCTACAACAGAGTCTGAACTTTAAACTGATGTCAACAATTTAAATCAGAAAATGGCACAATTACACCTGCAGCTAAACTTTGAGACAAATTCTGTTTTTATTATTCAAGTTACCTTATAGAATTTATAAGCATTGGGCTTGAAATTTAGAGATATCTTTAACAATACCAACTCTATTCTACTACTAATTCAGGATTATAAATTCCATTTCCCTGCTATTTAAGAACATCACAGTTCAAATGATATGTTTCATGTAGGCATAGGAAAACAAAGAGATCAACAGCATTTCCATTCAACAAAACTGTCTTCACAAATTATCATCCCCAACAGAGATCTATCGTTTTCATTGTGGCAAAAGTAAGATGCAGAACTTCCATCATAAATGTGGTATTCAAAACAACCAAACAGAAATTACCTACTTGTGTAAGAATACAAAGGGGAGAAAATACAGTGAGTTAGTCTTACTCAAATGTCTCTTCGACAGATGCTCCAAAGGAGTAGGGTTCCCTTTCATTTAATAGAAGTAAAATGTTTTGTTCCACCTACAATGCAATGTAGAGTAAGACAAAACAAAATATATAGTACCTCAATGATCTTTTCCACATTGGTTGGATGATCACTCATGGAAAGGTTTTCTTGCTGTTAGATATGAAAAAAAGGAAACTATCAGCCACATCCATTAAATAAATTGAGTTGAAAGATAACACAAACCAACACAAACTGTTGAGACAAAAAAGAAGGTCATATACAAACACAACACAGGTCTAAATTCTGTGAAAATCAAAGAGAAATATCCAACAATGACAATTTTTCTCATTAAAATCAGGGAGTAAGACATCAATAAAGAGGAAGTAAATTTGACAGAATTTAAACAGTATCTAGATCAAAGAGACACTGTTATCTACCTTAAAGCACCTGCCTTTTTAGCCTTAGCAGAAACAGACTATCATTGAAGAGCAAAGGTTTTTAAAGGATAACTCAAGAGACAATGGATCCTGGAGTAATTTCCTTGATCACAGAAAAATACAAAATCCAAATGAAAACTGAAAATGGTAAAAAGACAAAGTACCAGAGACTATTTCTCAATAAAGGAAAGGACTTATTGCATTCAGGGCTACACTGTTCACCTGCAGTCGCTTCAATAAAGTGATGCCTGAATCACTATTGGTTTAGATCACTGTGTCAACAAAATTCTAATTCCATCTAGAGAATTTCACTCTGGCTTAATAGAAATTGCCTGTCATAAACGTATCCTGAAGACTCCAGATATAATTAATAAAAGCATTTTGGGTTTTCACTTTCAGGTTTTTAATATTCCAGGAGCAGTAGTGCCCTATTAAATGAAAGCTGTGTGCAAACTGTGTATTAATTGACCAAAATAAAACAGTTGTTTGTAATCTGTTTCTTTGGCACAATAAACTTTTGAAAAATACACTAATGTCACTGCCCAACTGCTATTGATCAGTTCCTAGACTTTCCGACTCTTCAATGAGACATTACCTTCTGCATTAAAAATTTTAAACTTTAATACATGCTTAAGGTTGAAAAAGACACATCTAATAAAAGGCTACGAGACATATAGATGTTTGAAAGAGACAAAAAAAAACATGATACATCTACATTAATTCATCTATACAGTTGTACCTTTTAATTCCCTCATACCTAGCAGAGGGTAGGGTCTTACTAAAAAACAATAAACCATCAATGAAATTCATAATAGAGAAAGCCCTTTAGAGGCAAGTGCAGTTTTCTGATGAAATGAAGGTGTGATATTTTTCTGATAGTCAAAGGAAATTATATTCACAACAACGAACCATATAAAAAACTAATACCCGGCACACATTTCTTTTTACTAAATATACAAAAAGGATTTTTTTTAAAATTAAAACAGTCTTCTTTTGTCATCTGGTGAAGTAAAGTACATTCTAAATTCAGCAGACACCATATTTAGACATTTGTTTTGCAAATCACCAAACATACCCACATCAACATCAGACATTTTTGTCGAGAAAATTTGCAGAAAATTACAAACACAATTCATCACCATTAAACAGCTCTGATAGTCGAACTACTACAAAAAGGGAAACAGAGGTAATTTCAAATGAAATAACAAACAGCTGTTGTAGGAGATGTTGTAAAAGAGGATAAAACTTGCCTCTCACAGCAAACCAAAACAAAATTTTTATTATCATAACTGCCCAGAGTGTTTTATTGCATGGCTACAGACACATTTCCTTTACCTATGGCAGTTTATTTATTGCAAGGCTGTGGTCTAGCAGCACCCAGTGGCCCCTGGCACCTTACTTTTGCTCTTGGGCAGCTAAGGAATTTTTAATTAGCTTTTTCATAAAAAGTATATGCTGGGAACCCTGGATTTCACAGTTTCAGAGCAGTGGGCTCCATTCAATCTTCCTTAGAGCACAGCCTTGTATTGTTAATAATACCCAGGGGTTTCACTGAGGACCAGGCACCAGGCAAATTGACCAGTTGTGAGGACAGTTTTGCCCACCTGGTGTGACCATCTGGAGGAAAGTTTATCTCATGAAGAAGTTCAGTTAAAAAAGTTTTGCCTGCCTGTGAAAACCAGTTGCCCTCATGCTGAAAACATTTCTGAAACCCCTGAATACTGTTCCTAATATCACACTGACAAAATTCAAAGGACAAGCTGTAACTCTGAAGAGGAAATTCAAATGTAACAATAGTGTTGCATGTCAGACACATCTTTCAGTTTCATTTAAAATTCTTAAGTGGGAGGAGCAAACATAGTATTACTAACATTTCAACCAAAAAAAATTCCACCCACTGAAGATAAACAATAGTACTACAACTTCCTCAAGCAAAAACAAAAGTTCAAGATCATCTGTATCATTGTAGGGTTTTTTTGTATTGCAAAATTCAAAGAAATAAGCAAAACAAAAAAGACAAGCCTTAAATGCTGTTGTATCAATCACCTCATTTAATTTTTAATTGCTTTCCAATGTTATCCTTTAAAGTTGAACTAAATATTCCATGAAATAAATATTCACTGACTAACAGATTTCATTAGCAATATTAGAAAAATTTAACTTTGAAAAATTGTGCCAGAAAATCTTGGATAAGTCATCTCGAGCTATAACAAGATTAAATTAAAAAACAATTCCTCATACCTTGACAGAAGACACGGGTAGATTCCTGAAAGGAAAAAAATAAAAAATAAAAAGAAGCTTGGAATGAGTCAAACAAGAAAATATAACCTTCAACAAATTGGGCAGGAAAAATATTCACACTTACATGAACAAATCAAATATATTTTTTTTCATATTAAGGGAAAATCAAACAAAATCATTTTCAACCTCTGGGTTGACTGATTAATAAGAGAACAGAACAAAATGGCTGAGGTCTTCATCTTGACCTCTGTAAACATCTCTCACGTTGCTTCTTCAAAGCACTTCATTGCAACGCGATGGAAAAGACAACTGTATTTAACTTTGTTGTAAAATAAATATATTTACAAGTTAACATACATTACAAGTATTTTTCTTGCTTCTCCCTTCTACCCCACATGCTGTGTGTTTAGTCCCCTCTAAACCCTTAAGAGTGACCAGCATCTAATTTCTCCTTACAAATAGTACTGCTGAATCATTTATCAACAAGATCAGGAGAAAAAAGGAAATGATTCCCACCCTAAGAAGCTTTCACTGATTGTCAATGAAAAACAGATTCTCCTCATCAATTCCAAATGGAATGTACAGAGAATAGTGCAGGAATGAAGATACTGACGCTAGGGTGTAAAGCATGAAAATCATACACAAAATTTTTAAAATCTTGAGGCTTTCTGCCCTCTTACCTGTCAGGCAAGGAGAGTTTGATTTTCGGAGGTTTCCCCTTTGAGGCTGGATTTGACTTTTGGTTCTGGCCTTTGTGAAGGTCACTGTTCAGGTCCTCGGGAAGGCTTTTCTCATCCTTTATCCCTTTAACTTTTGTGACCGATTTATCCTTTTCCTTTTCAACATTTTGCCGAGGTTTAACATTGCCATTGACAACTGGCTTCATGTCAGTCTTTTTCATCTCTGCTGATTTCGTAAGTGTACCATTATTAAGGGTGGGTGATTTTAGCTGTGATGACGTCTTTTTTGATTCAACTGCTTTGACAGTTGTAGCTTCCTTCCCAGGTGGAGATTTCAGGTGTGTTAAAGTCTTCTTTGAATTGGTTTGTTTTGATACAGCTGCTTCCTTAACAGTTGGGGATTTTATATTTGACAGAACTTTCCTTGCATCAGCTGATTTAGAGGTGATAGCTTCATTACTCAGAGTTGGAGATTTTGAAAGATTTAGAGTTGAGTTCCTGGAGGGAGGAATTGTGTTATTAGACTTTGTGAGGGGAGATTTAGTGGCCAAGTGTCCAGCGCTATTTATGACTCCATTTAGTTTGTGGTTCTTGGGAGATGATTTAGCATCTTTGGCTTTGTGGCGATCAAACACAAACTTCTGCCCTTCAACAGGTGTTGGTGGAAGTCTTGGAATTCCGATCAAATGATTGTGATGTTGGAGAACCGGTGCAATGGTGTCATATGTTCCAAGCGTAGCCTGTTGGAATTTAAAAAATATATCAATATGAACCCTTTAACTCCCGAAAGTGATTAACATGTAACTTCTCCCAAAAGTATCCTTTCGTAATCCAGTAACCAGATAATGAGAATACACAAACTTGTTAACTTGATGTAACACCAATTGCTTGTAACTTATCTACAAGGAAAGGGGCCAGGGGCCACTAGGCACTGCTAGTCCACAGCCCTGGTTAACCATACACATCATTGGAAATGTCAAAAGACAAATAATATAATATATATCAAGCTTGAAAATGAAATGTAACATTTTATAAGTTACCTGGATTTTTTGCTGAAGGGCGTCCTGAGCTGATGGTTGAACCTACAAAGTAAAAGAATGAATTATACCTCTTGGGTCCAAGAGGAGATATATCACCAAGAGCAATAAAAACTTTTGCCTCTTCCCATACAACCCTCAAACCAACCCTTAACCAAGTTTCTAAAATGACATTTTCATGAGTGGTCTTTTCATAAACTTTGCAACCACACAAACCCTCTTGTCAAAAGTATTTGAAAACGTAATGAGTGAGACAAATGCTTTTTCCCTCCAACACCACTCAGACACAAAATGGAATTTAATTTGACATAACTTGAACGAAATGTAGTTATGTTGGTCGTCCACATCAAGTAAGCTCACATGAGCACTACTAAATTTATTTCACATTTGTTCAGATTCAGGGATATGGCAATAAATGACCTCATGATTCTGCTAGAAATTAAGTCAGGTTTGCTGCAGTTGGCTTTGGATGATTTACTGAGGTCATCAAGAAAGGGTTCTAACACATACAAACATGCCTGGAATGTGGATGGGAATGGTGGGGGGGGGATGGGGAGAATTTGTTCATGGACAGAGCAACTCTTCAATATACAGAGACAAAAAGCCAATCACAGCAAAATAAATTGCACCATGAAACACACTTGTTTATCAATTTATCAACGTTCTACATACCTTCCTGGGTTCGGCAAATAGGGGGAGGTTGCCAGTGTTCTGAAAAGGACATGTCAATTACTGTTACTGTTTATTGAGTAAGATCTAATATGAAAAGACACCACAGTGGCAAATTTTGATTCTGTTACAAATAAATAACAAGTTATCAAGGGATGTTAGAAATCTGTGTGGTGAGGAGGACTGTTTCTAAAAAGCACAAAGCTGGTTACCAAGCTTCTGGGATCCATCAGAAATCAAAACAAATTCAGAGATACTATTTCTCTCACAATTAAACAAATTCACTTCAGTCATTCTTGCTAATGCGACAATACTTTAAAAAGTTACCCAGTATCTTACAGCATTATGACAAAAGAATGCTGACAGGAAAATACATAATGTGCATCTTTCAACCTAGATTCAGAGCTGACCTTTGGTTAACCCAATGGATTGCACAACAAGCAAAATGATTTCTTCACTATCAGTGAAGGTATTTAGGATGAGAACAACATGTATCTGTATCTAAAGCAGCAGATTTGATTTAAATTTAAGGAAGCAACTATCTTTCAAAACTATTCCATGTTGGAACTTCCAGAAAAAAATCCCTTTCAAATCCAATTAGGAGATTACGCAAGTTGACCCTATTTAGGGCATTACAAGCCGGATGCCTTTCCTCATTTGTAAACAAAATCAAATCATTCTAAATTTAAACTACAATGCAACCAAATTAGAATAACAAATTCAAGTAAGTTGCCCTGTTTGCCCTTTTGCAAGCAAAAACCAAGACAAATAAATCCATTCCCATAAATTCTAGGCAGGTTATAATTTTTAAGTTATCTGTTTGCAACATAAAATGATTAAACTCCTTGAAGTAGAGAAAAAAAACAGCATAGGGTCTAGATTCCACAGATAAAAACATTTAACCAAAAGAAAGAAATACAACATTTGGCTCAATGTGACTATTCCTTGAGCAATTCTTGTCATGTACCCTGACATCCCTTAGTCTCAGTGAAGACAACCACTATTAAAATATTACATAAAATTCAGTATCAACAAACGTGACCAATTGAACAAAAGAAAGAATATTCATGAAACCACTTGCATAAATAGACTTTCAAACATGCTCAGACATGAAAGTATTTTTCTTTTGTTTCCTGACTATCCAGCTTCAAAATTGTGACCTCAATGAATATGAACTTCTGGTTTGTCAAACAGATTCTAATGTGGCTAAATCTGGCCATAATGCTAACAAACTCATTTGGAAGAATCACAAAAACAACAGATAAGATCCATCAACCTTTTCCCCCTACACTTGACAAATATCTTTCCAAAGTAACCATAACTGATATATTTAAATGAATGAAAGGCACTAAACTTAAAGGAGCTAACTGGTCAACTTGCACTGTTTCTTGGTTGGTTTCAATTTATTTGTTATTTATTTGTAATGTGCCGACACCACAATAAAAGCTCACTTACTGAAGGCTGTCTCCGTAATTTTGCCCTCTCTTGTTGTGCTTCTTTCCTCTCGCGCTCATGAATAGCTAACCTGGAAACAAATACACAGGTTTAGTGACGTTTAGATTCTTGGTTGAATGTGATAACCAAGGGCATAGCCAGGGGGGTCCTGGGGTGCCCGTGGCCCCCCCCCCCCTGGTCAGTCTTCTTTAGAGCAAACAACCAACAATATTCAGGTGGTGAAAATGCCATGACAATATCTTGGCCGTAAAAGCCATTGATATGGGCCTTCATGTTGCGATAATATGACTGAGCCTGCTGATACATGGGGGAGAGCAGCGGTGTAAATGGTGAGTAGCCTCTGTGAACCCCCCTTTGAAAAATCGTGGCTATGCCCCTGATAACAGTGTGGAACAATCTTCACTTCAGAAGGAATGGCAAACCCCTAAAGAAGAACTGGGGTGTGTTGCAATATTTTTTGTTTATAAAATCACAAAAAAAAAAAAAAAAAATCACACCATCATGATAAGATTGGCAAAGAGTTAAGGAGATTATCATTGGTTTTTGTATATAGGTAATGTTTAAAATAAGAAATAAATTCAAAGGATTTCCAAACAAAAATTGTAATACTTGAGGTCAACCAGAAATTGCAATGGTGTTACAAATCCAAGAATTTTAAAACATCACTTGTATAATCTCAGTCTCTAATCACACTGACACAAATACAACAGAACAAACATCTGCAACCCACTATTTATGTCTTTTAAACTGTATTTTAATTAAAATCCTGAGTTTGCTTAGACGAATAAGTTCATTACTTTAGTTACTAGCTTACCAAATGATCCTGTATCAAACTAGTGGATTAAAGATATCACACTGTCATACAGAGTGATAAGAAAGCAAAATACTTTTCCTGCTTTTAGAAGGGTAGTGTAACAATTTTATTTTCCAAAAATGTAAGGTACAGCCTAATTACTTTTTCATAGGCAAGGCTTCTTCTTAAAAGTGAAGCACAGCTTGAAGTCTGAACGGAAAATAGCTTAAACCATTGGAATCCACTTGGAAAATTCCCTCATCTTTGATACCTAAATCTTATGATCATGGATGCTTTGATAAGAGATGATATAATTTTAGTATCTTACATTTTATCACCTGTGCAGCTTCACTTTTCCACCAAGTATGTCTCCAATCCAAAATTGTACAAAGTATTTGTTAATGTTCAGCATAGGAGAAATTCTGCGCAAGATTGTGCAATAATCTGATTTCAAACGAAAGCAAATTACACTTCACCCAGATGATTTTAAATAGAAGATCAAGCAAACCAATCAGAATCTTGTTTAACAATAATATTACTATTTTGGTCACAACTTTTCCCACTCGTCTCATAATTTTTGCAGTTTAACATGCACAATCTAAAGGCAATTTTCTGAAAAAAAATCACCTTATGAAATATAGAAGACATTTCAAATATTTTTAAAGAACTAATGTAAAGAAACATAATTGTTCACTCAATGAAAGTATTAAGATTTGTATCATTTCAAAATCCTTTCTTGATTACACTGATACTTGAGTCATAATATTATTATTAACTGTGCTAGCAACACAGGGAGGATGACATGACAACTGTTTTTGTAAGACATTTCTGCACATTTTGTGATATCTTTTGAAATCCTAGAAAAGAGACCACCACCCATACACAATTTCTCAACAACCCACTGATAATTCCATCATGAAATCTTAAGGATGCTTCAAACTTTGAGAAAAAAAATTTGAAATACAATGATGTTCCTGAAGTCTGCATGTCATTTACACTCGTGTTCTGTAACTTGAAGGCAGTAAAACAGCTGAGGACCAACTAGTCTAAATGAGCTCAGTAATAGTGTTTTTAAAAGGCCCAAAACTTTCCATAATGGTCAGAGTTGTTTTTGTAAAAATGAAAATCTTTCCTTGAAATAGATTTTGAGACCTTGTATGATTCCTTGTAAGGGTTCGGACAAACTCTAAGGAGGATTAAATAAAACTAAACGAAACACAACCATACATGGTCGAGAACGGAAAAGAATAACAAACAACAAACACTTGGACTACATGTTTTAGGATGCATAATTAACAGTTTCTTTCCATCAAAAACATTTGTTTGAAGAGAGATAAGAATAAGTTGATGTTTCAAAATAAACTTTAACCTCCCGTCAAAATGTTACGGCAAACCATCGATTAAAGTTTTTTTTCGTTTTTTCACAGTGGAAGAAGTGGCCATCCTCTGACCTTACAAGGTACATTTCGTTCGATATCTAACGTCCCCCGTGGTGATGTTAAATATAGACTTAACAGTGTTACCAACTTGGAACTAGCAAAAATGACGATGATAGAAATGAGTGTTTGGAAAACCTTTGGAAAACGAACTAACCGCAACACAACGCTATTATCGTGGCAAACAATCAGCGAAATGCAACAATCAGCTGAGTAAAGATGCAATGAAGGTCCTGTTATTTAATCAGAATTGGTGTCAACAAAACAAAGAGCTGTATGAATTTATGCTCTAAAATAACATGAGTTGAACCTCTCGGTTGGCCTAACAAATGATTGAGCAATAAAACTAGCATTGCCAGAGTACTATATAAGACACGCGTCCGTCTGACCTGGAAATCCTGTGTCAGAAGCCCAAACATCAAAGTCTTTTAATATATAGTTCTCTTACACCGCACTATGGCACACATTTCATCTCCGCAGGTACGGTACAGATGTTGATTTTCAAGTAACGCTGAATTCTGATTAAGTGCGGTTTCAGTATATTTGTCAAAAAGAAGAGATTGCCATACCCAAACTCTGGAAGTTAAGCATAATTGATTACGAATCGTATCTAGCCTTATTAAGCTTTACATTTCCTGCCCCCCAATGCCGTAAACAAAGTGAACGAACCATGGCAAATTTCACATTGGTCTAAGAGCCATTTCGAAAATTTCGTTCATACCTAAATAACGACAAAAGATCTCAAGAAGACTTTAGTAGGAAGTCTGCCGGCTTGTAACTCGAATACCACGCCATCTGTCGCCAGTTTTTTTGGCGACGAATTAGACAAAAAATGCCAAAAAAGCAAACCCTTTGAATAGTAGACGAATTCTGAGAAAAGGGGATTGATCTATTTTTGACCTTTTTCTAATATAATTGAAGAGATGAAGCATCAGATCACTGAAATAAGACCTGGAATTTGCTCGACTATGTGCAGTCATCGAACAAAATGAAAAACGATTCGCAGCAAGTGAAACGTTCGGATGTACCTGGTCGTAAACAAATTTATCACGGACGTGCGAGTAGACTAGGATTATTTCCTGCGGCAAAATCGTTGTAACCCCAATAACGCAATAAAGAAAATAGAACTGTGCGAAAATAAATATTAACTAGACTGGGCATCGATTGTCGTTTAAAACAGTTATTAGGGAATCTCTTGAAAATTCATCAATAACCAGAAAATCTCCTCTCCCCTCTACCTGACCTTGTGATATGAAATTACAGACGATGAAATGAACTCCCGAAGGAAAATGTCTCGAATTGATATTAGGCCTAAAGAATATAAATTGCTTCAGATCGCGAGCGAAAATGCCACAAACAAAAGACTTTAAACCTTTAAATCATGAGCAATACCACGATCGGTACTCATTGTTTAGAATAGAACATATCAGTTTAACGACTTACGAGAATAATTTCCAAAGACGTGACGTTCCGAATGTCGAGAATTACGACAATGCCTTGGCATAATTCGAAACCGTAAAATGACGCCGTGATCTTGGCACAATTAAACAACAAAAACGCAGTCGTAGATCGGCCTGTTACACTAAACTATTGTACAAAACGTTGTGATAATTATGTGCCAGAAGAAACTTTGAAGAAGTAGTAAAAATAAGTACGGAAGCTCGCTCGATCCCCTTTGCATAGACTCTATGGGGGCGGCAAAATGAACACGGAGTGGAACTCAACCTTCCTATGGACAGATCACCAAAACTTTTATCCATCCTTCGTCACGTTGTAAAACCGAGATTTATAACACTACGAATGTTGTTTTCCAGACAAAATTACGATGAGGTTCTGCCACAACATCGTCAACAAACTAGAGTCTTTTCGATGCGCCATCTTGATGAACATTTACTTGCTCACACGAAACGAAATAAAAGTTGAAACTCTCTCTGAGGAACTTACCCAGACGACATTCCCCTAGAGTGAAAACCAGTGCTTCTCAGATCAGTCTCAAGCCGACTCATAACACGAAAAATCTCAGTGGAAGATGGGAAAAGGCAGGAACAGTAGTGCCCAATATATTAGGAAATTTCGCCACTCTCGGAAAGTACATCAACAGTTAGTAGTCGAAGGGCGAAGATTAACCAGACGCGAAGAACCAGCACTTAGGCGGTGAAGGATAGAGGTGACTCCTCAGACAATTCGAGAGGAAGTTAGCGTTTTTTGAAGCCTTTCTTTTCTAACCCTACATATTCGATTCCCCACTAAACAAAATCTAGGCAGTTTAGGATCCGCTAAGAATCCGGAGGTTTCGGGCAGCTGTGTGACGCACAATTCACACCCCACGTGACGCATACGGCTTTTCCATTGGTCAAGCACCTGCCATTCAACCAGCCAAGAAAGATTTAACCGGAAATGGGGCTTCCCTCATTCGACGCGCAGAACACAAGCACCGGATATCAACAACTCAATTTTCGTGGATTTCAGGAAAGGGAAATCACAAAATCTATATATAACTGAGTGACAGAGCGCTCGGAGAGTAGCTTGTCAATTTGTGTTTAACAGAGCGATTCGAATCTTCAATCAACATTTTAATCTTGAATTGTTGATGTTGAAGTTTATCATTGGCTAATAGATGGCTCGTTAACTTTAATTCGCTAAAGAGGAATAATCTAGACAGCAAAATCACTTATCATGTCGTCGTCACAGCACATGTTACTCACACCCACTTGGATGAAAATTTGGAATAACTTCCCTTTTGGATCTCTATGGTAATGTTCCACAGTAAAAAATACCCTACATCGGAAGGGACAAAATTGTGACCTATTTAATTGTTAGATTATGAAAATGATAACAAAACGAGGGGTTTAATCTGAAGTAATGATGATGTAACGACTTGGATAAATTCTGGCCCGCCACTGATTCTTGCACAAATAAAGTTTCTTATTCAGTTTAGTAATCAATAATTACAGAGGAGACTTGACTGAAGGAAACTGTGATAACATGCAAATTGTTTTGATAAAGAATGATCGAATCAACTTGAGTGGAAGATAGCGGTTTTCTTTCAAATCAAGATGGAATGAAGGCTTTCTTAACTAATAAAACGCCTTAGAAATTTCATTTACTGTCTGGCACAGAGATTGAAAGAAACCCCAATTTTTTACCAAAATTCTCAGTCCACCCGCCCACCTCAAGATAACTTCCTCTTTCAGCGATTAATTTCATTCGTAATTTTTCTAGGAATGTTCTAAACAGTTTGTTCAAGATTGAATTATGATCATGATTCAACTGAACACAATATATAACAAATCGAGTTGTGATTTTTCAAGTTTGTATGTTTCCGTTACTAGCTACCTTTCCCTTCCACAATCTGCGTGGTTCTTTCCCATTGATCTGTTATGACTTCCTAAGCTAATAATTTCAAGTTTGCTCCTTTCGTATCGACCCACACTGATACAGTTGTTAATAATAACACACACACCATCAAAACAGCAATATTCTTTGGGTAAAGAAAAACCATTTGTTGACCCGCGATCAGGCGAAAGAATGCCGGATTTGCAGGTTGACTAAATTATCGGCCAATTTCACCTACCGGAAGAGGCTGACCTTGTGGTTGTGCGTGTGCAACCCAAACCTTAGTCACGACAAGCACATCATAGAGTAAAGATATCCGCTGTTTTTATAATTACTTTATCTGCCTTCAGCCGTTTACAGTCTGGTGCGAGCTTTACGAATGTTATGAAGCGTGGTTAAAATCAATTCTTGAAAAACAAAATATCGAACATTCCTAATCTCAATTATTCACTATACCCACTCCAATAAAAAGGTTGACCGTCATAGTACCGTGTTGACGCGCTTGTAGAGGTCAAATAGACACAGTCGGCCGAATCAGTCATTCCTCGCCGTCTTCCCTCGGAGTTTTCCTCTCTGTGTAAGGGCCAAGATTGACTGAAGGGCCTAGTTAAAGTCACTGCTGGGTCGATTTCACTTCATCACTGAATAGAGAAGAAAGAGGTGAAACTGGACAAATTGTTCGGTAAATTGAAGCGTAGAAACAGCCATGTTGCTACCCACTTAAACTTTTATTCGACCTCTTTCATGTTTGGAGGTTCCAGTTGATTTATCACAAAAACTACTAAGCCGCGAAGAAACCTCAGAGTCTCAGCTACTCAATCGACGAATCAGGCCTGTATCAGGTTCAGTTTTCTTAACCTGTATTTGAAAACTGATGCAATGAAAATGCGTCTATATCTCTTGCGAAAACCAGCTTCAGCTTAAGCTAAGCTGAATGGGACAAATATGCTGAAATGTTTGCTTTCCGATTAAAAGCAGGTCTACGTGATCGCAGCCAAACTACATATCTGTATACTTACCTGTAAAAAAAAACTGAGTAACTCTTGACTGGCTCATGAACTGTTGGCAAAATTTATACGCCAAGACATGTATTTGAATCACTACACTAAGGTACGTGCCGTAAATTTCTTGAACGAGGTCCAAACTCAAACCACATAGAAACTTGATATTTCAATAACATACTCTTGCGTTTGTCTGCATTTTAATTTGCATTACAAAACGATCGCCGTGTAACCTTTCACCTCAAATCCTGTTAACGACTGCCAGTCCAATTAAGAGATTTTCAGGCCCACCAACGGTAAATATCACCCGTTCTCCAAATACGTCCAAATCTCACTATAAACTCAAGTGTTGTGAAAGGCCATGACTGAAAATTTTGTCTCCCGCTCCAGGAAGGCCAGCTAAGGACTGGTGCTTCCATCTGACCCCTACCCCGTGGATGTTTAGTTGATTTTTACATGTCACGTATAAGAGTTTATATTTACAAATGGTTGATAAAGGGATGAAATACTATTGGAATTTTATTTCCTCACATAAGATGCATGCAGATCAGTTATTACCATAATCTGCAGACATAACGGGGAGGTAGCAATATTAAATTGAAGAGCACGTTTTGTGGGTCTATATTCTTATCCTTCCTTGAGAGATCAAGGAAGTTGTTACAGTTAGTTGCGGTTTGGGGTTTTCCGTCTAAAGTTCTTGACGTCAGTTCAGTATGAAATACTGTAACAATCTCCTGAGGTAAAAAAGACCCCGCTCACTTGTTTCTACAATGATGAAGTGCGATATTCAACCGCTGTTCAAGAAAGGAGCCCGTGATCTCTCCCTGCTCCCTCCCAAAAAATAAAAAAATAGATAATCAAAGAATGCCTACAATACTGCAGAGCTACACTGCAGAGCTATACTATTGGGTAGAGCCAGCACCGAGCCAGTCATTTGACGGGCTAAAAAACAGGTGGATATCTGTTGAAGTGTTTGTTTTACTCTGTTGGTTGTTTGTTTGTTTGTTTGTTTGTTTGACTGATTTTTTCAGGGGAGTGGCCAGTTGAAGTCAGCTTAAAATCTTTCATCATCATCGTAATTGAATTGAATAGATATAATTAAAGGTCATCGACATCAATGAAGTAAATCCCAGATCGAATTAGTTTCGGAATAACAACCCTTTCACCCCCCAATTCAAGATCCAAATTTTTATTCTCCGCTTCGTCTTTCATCCGTTTCTCATAGTAACAGCTGTGAAAGTTTTTGTGCAAAAAAACAAGCAATGTGCCTCAAATGAAAATTTTTATACTTCTCACAACCTTTCTGCTTGGTATTGTATTGTTAGCGAAGGGAGAATTGTCTCTTTGGTCACACCCAAGAGTGAAAAGGTTACATGAGTCTTTTCAATTGAATTTTGTTCGGGCCAGTCAAGGTCGTTCCAACTAATGAATCGTTGCGTTGTAATAACTTTTTGGTCGTGTTAGGGTTACGACAATAGTACCGATAGACCGCAGACATATTTGTATCCCGGGCAGACCAACCTAATGATTCAAGGACATGCGATATCAATTATTTGATACGGTAATTATGTACCTATTTCTACCATTTTAGGGAGGGTCTTTTCTCCGATCCCTTACGGCTAACGGTTAATATCTTTCCATTGCTTTCACCAGAATTTTTCTTTGCGGTTCACTTTCTTTACGACTAACCGTTAAAATTTTTAAATTCTTACGCCTAACGGCCAATATTTTTTGACCGTTAACGGGAGTTAACGATTAACCGCCATTGAGACTCTTCCCAAAATAACTTGCTTTGTTTTAATTTGTTTCCCGCTTACTTTGAGAGCTAAGTCAGCAAATAACAAATCTCACCGAAAAAAACTTTCTGAACGATCATGTCTTTATTTTTAGATGGAAAGTTCTGGTGAAGACGTCAAAAGGCCATTGAGTAGTAAATATATGACGTCACAAGTGAGACCCGACTATTGTCACATAATAACTATTCTGTTTCACTTGACGTCAAAAGTTTTTAAACCAGGTTGTTTCGTCTGGCAATGAAAGAATATGTCTCTCCTGTTATTACTATCTTTGGGAAGCATTTAGGCCTTGCACTGTTGTTTCAGACGCCCAACTGTTTGGTTTCACATGATTACGTCATAATACAGAGTCAATAGCCATTGAGGGACCTTACGCAATCAGGACGGCAACGCCAAGGAACGTCGCCGTCTTGGTTTCGTAAGGTCCCTAATACAAATTCACGACGACTATTATTGGAAGTTTTGAATTTATCCACCCCCCTCCACCAACAGCGAACATTGTAACGCAATTGTACAGGTTTCCAGTGTGATAAAATCTTCTAGTTTTTACAATAGTCATTTTTATTTTCCTTTTCTTAAGTTGCGTGACATAAATATGTAGACCGTGAAAGCTATCACGTACGATGTAAGAATTAACTCCATCGTGTCGCACTTTCCTATTCTTTATAATAGTCAGAAACATTTTTAACAGTTGGATACTGATTCGGTCAAAGACTACTTTGAGAATTTTCGTTTCCTCTCGACCTTCAGCCAGGGCTAAGTCATTCAGTTGCTTTTAAAATATGTCAAGGGCTCTCTTCCGATAAATACTTTTCTAGCTATCCGAGCGCAAGAGCCGTATGCAAAATATTGGCTCGAAGTACAGTTGTGGTAGCAAGGATATTAGAGTATAGCGAAGTCCATCCAAAAACGGCTGAGAACCAATATTTCCCAGTATGGCTCGAGCAAGCGAAGTAAGTAAGAGGTTTACTATATGGCACTCGGACCAGACTTGTTTATTTTGGATTTGCTGTCTTTCGAGGACAAAAATACCGATTTGTATCGGCAGGAAAATGAAAAGATCAAGGAATATTGAATAAAAATCGGGGTGACCGCCGGCCAATAGCTTCCAGCTCTGGATGTGATCATAAGGTTCTCATTCAATTTTCCGATTGCCCC